CTTTTCCAAGACTGTAAAGTAGAAATTATTTCTAAAGGCAATGACAAATATTATTTGCAGCTGATACCCAGTCATTCCTTTTAGATTGCAAAGCCCCTGTAGCACACACTTTTGTCTTCTGGTAAGTTGATGATACAATCACTGTTATGAGACACTTTAGGAGCACTCTAAAGACAGTAAAGATTTGTTTAATGACAAATGTGATTATTTTTCTGCTTCTTCAATATCTCAGGGATCCGAAGTTGGAGTAATTAGTCAGCTTCACTAAGGGCAAATGTGTTTGTATCTCTCTGAAATGAATTACAGGATTTTTTTTCTTTCTTGGCTGAAGGTGAGATACTGCACCGAACAACAAATATAATGTGGCAAATGATGATACATACCAACATCAGTGCATGTCCAAAATTTATACCATATGCAGAAACAGTACAATTTCATATTCCTTGAGCTAATTGAGAAACCTCTCTATCTCAAAGCAAGCCCTACACTAGCTTTTTGAACACCCAGTATGCTCATTAGAGACCTGTGATAGCCACTTCTCAATCTGCACTCCACCTACACCCAGCATCAAATCAGCATGCTTCTACTTGCTACTTTAGTGTTTCTACTTTTTGGTGTATTAGCTGTTGCTTCTACAGTGCTGAATCAGTAATGCTGGGTGCTGCTGTGGTAGCGGAAAATGTATTTATTTCTATGATTGTGTGAAGTGGTATACAAAGAGGTGTTGTTTCTGAGAGCTCTTTTAGTCACAGATCCTTAAAAAAAAAAAACAGAAAGCTGTTACTTTTAAACCTTTTTAAATAACAGTATTTCATCAAGTACCAAATGAGCCTCTGTTCAAAGGGGATGTACGTGTTTTCATTCCAGAAAACCTCTGTTTAGTAAAGAGCATGTACACCACTGTGGAAGGTGCCATAGATCAACTTCATGGCTTTCCTGAGCAAAGGTAGGCAGCTGAGTACTAAAGGCCAGAGGTCCAAAGTATTAACTACTTGCACTATGAGATTTTACTACTATGTAGCACTTCCTGATACCAAAGTTCTTTTCTTTGCACTTTTCCATTCATCTTTGTTAAATGTACTGATTGTACCAAAATACATATGGTGGTCTTTGATTATAAGCTCTAAAAATTATCATTTCTCTCCACAATATCCCCAGCTTGTTCTCAACTCCCATAACCACCAAGAAGGCTGGAAGCTGGATATGCTTTACGGTTTTTGCCTTCTAATTTTTCTCTTATTCTCAACTTGCCTGATTACTTTAAGGTAACTTGTAGAAATGTCATATCTTTCAGACTTCTGCCCCTTCATCAATTTTGGATGAAATTGCCCAATGTACTTAAAAGATACTTAGGGTGCCTAGAGTTATTTTAAGAAACAAGACTAGAAGTGCTCACATTTTTTCACTGCAATTTCCATTACAACTGTTCTTCACCACAACAGCATGGTTTATCTTAAAAAGAAGAGAGAGACTTAAAGAATTCAAAAGGAGTCATTAGTGTACTATAAATGGCAGTGGCAAAATTTGCCAGCTAATGGTAGCAATATGTATGTGGAAAGGAGAAAGGACACAAAGTAATGTTCTACTTGAGGTACAGGAAATCAGGCTCGTGGTTTCCTATGAGTTTCTAAGGCTTTCTTTGAGAGCATTACTAAGAATTATGCATCCTCTGGTAAAAAGGCCCTGGGCCAAAAGATTGAAGAATAGAGCTACTTCATAAAATTCTGACATTCGCTGACAATTTTTTTCTCCTTTAATACAATTTTGCCACTGTCCTTTTCATTTATAGTGTGGGAGAGAGCCACATTACCTTTTTAGCCTCTAATCTTATTTCCAGGTTAAAGAGTACAGATTCTGCTCTAGTCAACTGACTGAGATGGAGTTATGCCAGGAAGAGACATGAGTAAGGTTTAAAATGTGTAGACTTAAAAATGAAGAACGATGCCACCAGTGCAAAACATCTAAAGCCTCACATCATTTGCAATATACTTTAAAGGGCTAAGGCAGATCTGCCTTTGTATATTGTTGAGTACCAAATTTGCCTTCACCTGGAGGTCTCCCACTTCTCTTGGGCCCAGAGAGTTGTGGTGAATGGAGTTCAATCCAGTTGGCAGCGGGTCACAAGCGGTGTTCCCCAGGGCTCAGTACTGGGGCCGGTCTTGTTTAATATCTTTATCGATGATCTGGATGAGGGATCGAGTGCACCCTCAGCAAGTTTGCAGACGACACCAAGTTGGGCGGGAGTGCTGATCTGCTCAAGGGTAGGAAGGCTCTGCAGAGGGACCTGGACAGGCTGGATCGATGGGCCGAGGCCAACTGTATGAGGTTCAACAAGGCCAAGTGCCGGGTCCTGCACTTCGGCCACAACAACCCCATGCAGCGCTACAGGCTTGGGGAAGAGTGGCTGGAAAGCTGCCCAGCAGAGAAGGACCTGGGGGTGTTGGTCGACAGCCGGCTGAACATGAGCCGGCAGTGTGCCCAGGCGGCCAAGAAGGCCAATGGCATCCTGGCCTGTATCAGAAATAGTGTGGCCAGCAGGAGTAGGGAAGTGATCGTGCCCCTGTACTCGGCACTGGTGAGGCCGCACCTCGAATACTGTGTTCAGTTTGGGGCCCCTCACTACAAGAAGGACGTCGAGGTGCTGGAGCGTGTCCAGAGAAGGGCAACGAGGCTGGTGAGGGGTCTGGAGAACAAGTCTTATGAGGAGCGGCTGAGGGAACTGGGGTTGTTTAGCCTGGAGAAAAGGAGGCTGAGGGGAGACCTCATCGCTCTCTACACCTACCTGAAAGGAGGTTGTAGTGAGGTGGGTGTCGGTCTCTTCTCCCAAGTAACTAGTGATAGGATGAGAGGAAATGGCCTCAAGTTGCGCCAGGGGAGGTTTATATTGGATGTGAGGAAAAATTTCTTTCCTGAAAGAGTGGTGAAACATTGGAAGAGGCTGCCCAGGGAAGTGGTTGAGTCCCCATCCCTGGAGGTATTTAAAAGACGTGTAGATGAGGCGCTTAGGGACATGGTTTAGTGGGCATGGTGGTGTTGCGTTGACGGCTGGACTTGATGATCTTAGAGGTCTTTTCCAACCTCAATGATTCTATGATTCTATGATTCTAGTTGCCCTCCTACAACATAATCCAGCCCACTGCAAGAGAGTTTAATGTTGCTGCCCCTCAAGATTTTATTCCATCACTTTGTTTTTAATTACAACAAATAAAACACTTCAAAGTCCCACTTTAATTTACAAAGTGCGTCTTGTTGACTTTACTCTCAAATGTTAAGTAACATCCCATGTGCATGTTTCATCTCAAAGGAAACTTGTGTAAAAAACTATTTATGGGATGGAAGGCTCTTTATAACATCATCAAAAGAGGGAAGAGAAATCACTGTTGCCCATGAACTATTCACTTACTGCAATGATTCTTGGCTGCAATTTCTGTTTCAAAGCATCTTAAGTGCTTTGATGAGTCTCTCTGGTGAGTCTGCTCTCCCTTCACCTCAGATGATCCCGTTACCCCCCCCACATAACAGCCTGAATGGTCTCAGGGGTTCAGGGCCTCATGTGTGGCTTTGCTTCATGTTGAGGGCTGCATATTTCCTACAGCAATAAGGCATCCATGAGGTGGTGTGAGAAGTGTCTGACAACTGCCCAGACTGACGCCAGCTACGAGTCGTTTGTGGGGCGGGGGAGAGGGTCGAGCAGCGCGCCTGCGGCGGCCAGAGGGGGGGGGCGAAGGGTAGGCTCCG